CTAGGGAAGGGGACATTAATGATATCTTTATCTGTTGCTGATGGTCGATTTTTTGGACATCACTATCATAATTCTTATTTGCTCATTTTTTGGTGTAAATGGAATTTTGGAAAATGTTCAACTTACTTTCTCTCTTCCTGCAGAAAACCGACCACATTTGCAACACTAGAGCACGCTGGTCAAAGAAAATTTTTCTTTGGCCTGCCTGGTAACCCGGTGTCCGCCATTGTGACGTGCAACCTGTACGTGATTCCCGCTATACGCAAGATGACTGGGTGTCCTAACCCGCATCGCACCGTCATAAAAGTTAAGGTGAGATTCTACTTCCATATTATGGTCGCTTTTATGCACAAGGGGGCTATCCCGAAAAATGCTGTTTTGAGAAAATCGAAGGTAAAGTGTTTGCACCTTGTTCAGTTTCTTTAAAAGACAAGGAGAGTTTTCTCTATCACCAAGCAATATACACACCAATGAAACCAAACTTCTCCTACTGGCAGAGCAATGTCCACTTCCGGTGAAGGTCAAGATTTCTGGAAACCCCCGAAATCTGGGTTAAACCGCTTGTCCTTGAAAGCGACCCTATAAACACGCATTCGTCTTGCTCTTTTCCGACTCTTATTTGATAACTGTTACCGTGTCAGTGTGCTTCTGCTGGTGGTTGGAGGGTGCCACTGGTAGGTTTTACTTCTGTACTTTCTCCCTGTTGTTTCTGTCTGTCTGTCTTACTTCTCTTTACTCAAACAAACAAACAAACAAACAAACAAACAAACAAACAAACAAACAAACAAACAAACAAACAAACATATTGTTCTTATCTTTCCTCTTTTTTGTGTTTGTTACTCTCTTGTAACACTTCTGATCTTCGGCTATTATATGACCCTATTGTGCTGCAAGTGCCGTAAAACCCTTTCTAATACTAATACTAAACATTTCCCTTCTGTTGACGCCGCCAATCACAACTCCCCAGGGTGGTTGGCGGGTGCTCTGGTGTGGTTTGCTTCTTCTTTCCTATCAAACATCTATCGTCCCCCCCCCCTTCTTTTTTATGTTTGTTACTCTCTTGTAACACCTCTAATCTTCGGCACTTATATGACCTTATTGTGTTGCAAGTGCCGTAAAACACTTCCTAAAACTAAACAACTCCCCAGGTGGACAAAGATCTCCGGCTGGACCCACGTCCCGAGTACCACAGAGCGGCCTTGACCTGGGAGTCCGGGGACCCCACGCCGACCGCTCACACCACGGGCAACCAGATCAGCTCCCGCCTTTTGAGCATGAACCAGGCCAACGTGTTGATGAGGCTTCCCCCGCGCTCTGACGCGCTCACGCACATCGACAAGGGGACAGTGGTAGATGCGCTGGTGATTGGGCAGGTCTAGAGATTTGGACAGCCGAGAGAAGCAAGGGTAGAGT